TAAAATGGCTTCATCCAAGAGTTGGAAAAAGTTCTCTTGGAGGTTGAAAGCCTCCTTCATGGTCATATTTCAGGCTCTGAAACTCTTCCTTCCAGGCTCGGGCATAACCTGTAATCTTTCCACAGAATTCTGCAATGGTTTGGGTTGGAAGGAACCTTAAAGATCATCTCATTCCACCCCCTGCCATGCACAGGGACACCTTCCACTAGCCCAGGTTGCTCCAAGCCCTGTCCAACCTGGCCTTGGACACTTCCAGGATTGAGCAGCCACAGCTTCTCTGGGCAACAAATCCCCTAAATTTGATGTGGGACACGGACATGGATCTGCAGCAATGTCAGGGCTCAGCCACAGCTGCAGCTGGTCCAGCGTGGGCAGGAGATGCCATAATGCAGAGAGTTCCTGCTCAGATCCAGCTGAAAAATGGTTTTGGAGCAGATTCTGGCTGGTGCTCTCCCCTCTGTGTGGATCATGTTGTGGATGGTTTCTGCTGGTGGCTGCCACCAGCAGTGCCAGGGACATTCAGTGAGAGGCTGGAGAGCTGGGTTTCTACATGCTTACACAATAAATAGAAATAAAATGCTAAAAGGCTCATTTACAGTCAATTCTAGGAGACCTTGCCAGTGCCATCTGTCCCCTGTGTACAGACAAGGAGCCTCTTGGAAAGCAAACACAGCCCCGACCAATGTGTCAATTGAAGAGTCAACACATTAGCTGTGTTCAGCAGGTCCCTTCTGCTGGCCCACCCACATCTCACTGACCCCTTTTTCCTTCAAAGTGACCTTTGGCAGCCTGGCTTCAGCTGGAAAATGTGGATGAAGCAAGTAACAGAGGTTTTGATGTAGGAATTTGAGACCAGAGTCAAACCCTGGCCTGGGGAGATGTTTTACCTCCAGGTGAACAACTCCAGCAAATGGGCTCCTCCAGGTTCAGTGGCACTTAGTAAAAACCCATAAAATCCCAAACCTGTATAAAGGATTTGAATTTTTTTGCACCACTTGGATACACTAAGGATCTTACTCTTGCTCTCATGGCCTGAAAACATGGATTTCGGGCTCTGGAGCAGTTCCTTGTCCAATTTTTAGTTAACAGAAGTCCCACCATCCACCCTAGGATAGACTCTACTTCAGCTGCAGAAGTAAAACACCATGTTTTCTAAGCCCAACTCCATTTAAGACCATTTGTACACTTGTGGATCATAATCTGGGGCGGGAAATAAAATCGGTGTTGCTCTTGATGCTTTGCTGCTCTCTTGTTTTTAGCACAACAAGCTTTATTTTTAATTTTTCCTCACAGAACCCTAGAATGGTTTGGGTTGGAAGGGATATTAGAGATCATCCAGTTCCAACACCCCTGCCATGGGCAAGGACACCTTCCACTAGCCCAGGTTGCTCCAGGCCCCATCCAACCTGGCCTCGGACACTTCCAGGGATCCAGGGGCAGCCACAGCTTCTCTGGGAAACTTATGCCAGGGCCTCACCAGCCTCACAGCCAAGAATTCATTCCCAGTATCCCATCTAAACCTTCAGTTTAAAGCCACTCCTTCAGCTGGCTTCAGTGAGTTTGTAAAGTCTTGGAGTCCATGGTGCATCCCAAAGAATGCTGTTGGGGAGGAATTCGCGGCTTATCCCGAGGAGCCGTGCTGAGCTGCAGGGATGCTCCGGCATCACAAGGATGTGCTGCCTCTGCCATACCCTGCAGCCATGTGCTGTTTGGAAGCAGCTGCCTGTATCCTTGTAACCCTCTTGACAGCGTCAGGAACAACTGAGGGACTATAAAAAGTCTCTTTTGATATCAGATGGTCAAGCCTTGGGTCGACTCCAGGAGATTGCTTCCAGGAGCCGGGCTTGGCCCGGAGCCCTTCTCCCGGCCTCCCTGAGTGGTTCCAGCTGAGAGGCTCCATCAGTTGCTAATGCACCATAAATAAACACCAGAGTCTAAACCTTGCTCCAAAATACCAGGGGAACTCCTCGTTTTAGGCTCTGCTGCCTGTTGTCCCCCGCGCGTGACCCCGGTTGTCCCAGCAGATTCTTCCTCCATGAGGTAAGCTGGCTGGGATAAATGGGAATGTGTGGAGAGCTGGCTGGATTCGTGCTCTAGGTATTTATTGCTAGAAATGGTCAAAAAGTTGGGCAGTGAAACTGGTGGGTGCAGGGATGGGGTTTAGCAGGGTAAGGTGTATGTAGTAAGAATAAATCGGTGTTAAATTAAAGCTGCAATTAAATAAAGCTTATCTGTAAAAAGAAATGAAATAGATAAATATTGTATGAATAAATATATAAACAAAAATAAATAATACAATAAAGTTTGTATATAAAATAAAATATAAAGATATATATAAAAATCTGTATATAGAATATATATAGATATTTATATATGTATAAAACGTATATATGTAATATTGTATATATACTATATATATTAAAATATATTTAAATCTATAGATTTTAAATCTTTTTATAGATTTTAAATCTCTGTATATTATAGAGATAAAGAGATAAATCTATGTATTTATCTGTATTATCATATTATCTGCACATAGAGATAAATCTATGTATTTTTGGCCTGGAATTGCTCAAGGCCAGGCTGGAAGGGGCTTGGAGCAACCTGATCCAGTGAAAGGTGTCCCTGCCCATGGCAGGGGGTGGAATGAGGTGAGCTTTAAGGTCCCTTCAAAGCCAAACCATTCTGGATTCTCTTACGTGATTGAAATAAATATATACAGATACATAAATAAAAATAAAACTTAAATTAAATAAAGCTTATATAAAAATAAATAAAAATCTTAGTGTCTCTAGATATATAAATAAAAATAAAGCTTAAGTTAAAGCTGTGCCAGATGATGGTTCATGATGGGAGACCTGCAATATAAAAGGTGTTTAAATCCAGATGTGCCCAACCTCTGGATTCAGGAACACCAGGGCCAGTAGGATCCATCCCTGGAAGTCACCTGGATGGGGCAAGTTCACAGCTGGATATTTTCCAGCCTGTTTTCAGTAAGGAAAGGTGCTGGTGTGGGCAAGCACGAGCCAGCACAGCCACATCTGCCACGGGGGTGTGTCCTGCTCGGGTCACGTGCTGGCGACCAAATTCCAGTTTTAATTATAATCCCTCGCCTGGGAGTGCACAGGGAACTCCCACTGCTGCCAGCACGTGGTGAGATCTGAGCCCTGTAACTGCCCCTCGTTAGGATAATGACTTATTGTCTCCTTCAGCATTCCTCAGGGTGGGAAAATACAGCCTGGCTGCAGCCAGCTCCTGATCCTCCAGCTCCTGCCCGTCTTTTGCAGCAGGGATGGGATGAGGGGCTGCTTTCCATAGGGCATCCAAAGGCAAAGCTTGGCATGTCTCCATGCAGCTGAGAATTTTGGGGGGATATGTGCAAAAAACCAGAGCGAGAAACAACGCAGGGGCTTGAACATGGACATCCACCTGCAGAGGAGATTCCAAAACTCCTTCCAGGCTCAGGCATGTGCCATAATCTCCTTTCCATAGAATTGTCATAGAATCCCAAACTGGTTTGGGTTGGAAGGGACCTTAAAGCCCATCTCATTCCACCTCCTGCCATGGGCAGGGACACCTTCCACTAGAACAGGTTGCTCCAAGCCCCATCCAGCCTGGCCTGGAACACTTCCAGGGATCCGGGGACAGCCACAGCTTTTCTGGCCAACCTGTGCCAGGGCCTCATCACCCTCACAGCCAACAATTCCTTCCCAATATCCCATCTAACCCTGCCCTCTGTCAGTGGGAAGCCATTCCCCCTTGTCCTGTCCCTCCAGGCCCTTGTCCTCAGTCCCTCTCCAGCTCTCCTGGAGCCCCTTTAGGCACTGGAAGGGGCTCTGAGGTCTCCCTGGAGTCTTCCCTTCTCCAGGCTGAACACCCCCAGCTCTCTCATCCTTTCTTTTCTCGATCCAAGCTGTATTTCAGAACTCTCCACCCTTTTTGCAGCCTTTCCCCATTGCAGTGGGATGGCTCCATGCCCAGGTCAGTGCTTTTCCAGGTCAGTTCCCACAAATTGACTGAGCCCAGTTTAGAGCAGACAGAGGGTTTTCCCCCATCCTGGTTTTCTCAGTGCCAGTGAGGGACCCCTGGCCCTGCTCCAGTCTCTTGCTGGTTTCCTTGGTACAATGGACAGTGGGCTTTGCTTTCCCAGGGAGCTCCTTCCCCCTTGGAAGCGACTGCAGCAGACCCAAAGTACAGCCTTAGTGGGAAATGACCCTAAAATCCTCTTTTTCATTGCTCCCCATGGCTTAAAACACAAACATACTGATATGCTCCTCATTTTAAATGGTTTTTGAATTATTCAGGCTGGTCCTGGGCAGGGAAATGGGACAGATCTGCTGTGAAAAGGAAACCCTTTGGCCAAAATCTCTTTAAAAATTGGGTGCCTTAAATACAGGCTTTAAGGTCCAGCCTGTAACTGTGTAAATAAATTGCTTAACTCTTGGGTTGCTCCTGTGGGAGGGGGAGGACCTGACCTGTTACCTACATGCTGATTTCCATTTCAATTTCTATATCTATTTGTATTTCTACTTCTATTTATTTTTATTATTTATATATTATTATGTATTATTATACTTCTATATTATTATGCATTGTATTTATATATTATTGATATTCATATTTTTATATTATTTGTGTTTGTATTATTTATATTTAATGGGTGGAATTGGTACCAGGCTCTGCCACAGCCTCTACCAGTACTTATATTTACATTTGAGTGTCTGTACCTGGGAAATTCCACATCTTATCCAAATGCTGTGTTACCTTACCAGCCAAGGACAGTGCTTGTTTCCAATAGGCTTGCAGGGAAAATGCTCTCAACTTGATTTTTAACCATTGCAAAGCAGGAAAATCAGCCAAGGGAGATATTGAACGTTGCTGGATGTTGTTCCTAATGAAAGGATATTCTTTTTGTCCCCCTTTTTTTCCCCTTTTTTTCTCCTTTTTTCCCCTTTTTTTTCCCCTCCTGCTGTTATAAAAGTGGTCCGTTTTCTCCCCAGACATCAGGCATCCAGAAGAACTCTCCCTTTTGAGGAAACCCAGAGATCCATCAAAGAAAAAAAAGAAGAAGTTGGATGATCAGTGCGAAGACGACGCCTTCGAGCTGGAGGGTCCTCTGATCACGCCGGGGTCTGGTGAGCCAGGAAAAAAAATGGGAGGGGGGAAGAATGGCACTGCAATATCAGTCTGATTTAATTCCTTGAGGTCTGTGCAAGAAGCAGACCCCAAATAAATGGCACAAGTCCCGCAGGGCTGCAGCACTCGGTCACGGATGCATGTCTGGAGCTGTCACGCATTTCGGGGAGCAGAACAACACCAGGCTTCATAAAATAAACCAGAACATGAGTGTGGCCACTTTAACACTCAGATCGTTTTACTGAGAGGTTTTCTTAAGGAAAATCATTCCTAATGTCAAATTCCAGGTGTGTTTTAGGCTGTACCACTGTCCTACTCCCTATTTATAACCCAGGAAGAGCAGTGTTTTATTAATTGCATTAGTGTTGCCTTATGTTAAGTGCGTAGCTGTGGATTTTAATGCTAAAAGAAACCTCTTTTATTGCTGTGTGGTAGTTTGCCAGTCTGAATTCCAGAAACAGAGCAACACTGGGAAGAGAATTGCTGGTGGAGTAATGTCCCTGTTTGGAATAACATCCCTGATGGAGGAATATCCTTGATGGAGGAACATCTCTTACCCCGGGCAGCAAATTGATGCAGGTGTTTGCAAGCAGAAGGTTTTTCAGCTCTGTTCTGTGGCTGCTGGAAGTCTGGTGTTTGAAGGCAAATGGCAGGAGTTTAAACCATCATTTTGGCCAAGTGGGAGCACTTTATCCCAAATGGACTTGCAGAGTTGGTGGTGCTGCCGGGCAGGCGAGACGTGTCTGGCTGCCAAAGCTCTTGGGTTTAAATCCGGCGATCCGAGGGTAGCAGGGCAGCTTTGATTTAAAAAAATACCTTGGAATTCAGTAAACTTGTATTAATTGGTGTTAAATTAACTGAAGGGAAGGTCATGGAGTGTGGTTAATGCCAGTGGTGGCGCTGGGCTTGCAGGCAGAAAGGTTTTTGCACCACGATCTCCGCATCAAACCATCAGCACGGATCTTGGCAAGGGAAAAATAATCCCTCTTTTGCTCTGATCCTGCACTTTCTCCTCTCAGTTACTTAAAAATGCTTCTGGGCTATTCCTCTCCCACTCCTGGCTCAGAGACATTGGGCAAGACTCCAGCCAATTTTCATTTCCATTTGGCTTTTTCATCCTGAAAGTCTGTACGAAGCCTTTCCAAAAGCCAGTGTTCACGGAGAGAGAGCATCTCTGTTGGATTAATAGGAAATACTTGGCCTGCTTTGGGGGAAATGTAGGCAGAAGAGAGGGTTTTATTTTAATTATTTATTGCTCTTTCAGTGAGTCACTTTGCTGGTTTTGCTTTCCCTGTGAATGAAATCACTTGCAGCAGGTTGAATTCCTGCGCGTTCAGGTGCCATTAGATAAAAGTCGTGGTTTTAATCTGAATAAACTGTTCCTAGCGTTGTTCCAATGCCAGTCTGTGTGCTGAATGCTTCTGAAAAACAAGTTAATAATTCAGGATGTGCTGGTTTCAGTGTGTGGGGATGTGCTGGTGTGTTTTGTCACTGAGCATCCCAAACCTGGCAGTGAAACCATTTAAACCCCGGTCGGCAGGGCTGCCAACACTCCCACAGGCCGTGTTGCCCAACACTTTCCATTAGAAGACCTGTTTTCACTTGTTTATATAAATTAGCCAAATTTGTAGCTATTTCTACTGGAACTTTCCATGACATTGCCTGGCCTAGGGCAGATTTTTTTAAGGGAAACTTCTTTTGAGATGTTTCAGGTGTTTGGAGAAGGTGATGAGGAGAACAGTGGAGGGGACGCTTTGCTCTGATGGAGCGAACACTCAATCAGAGGAATGTGGGGGGATATCCGTGGAAAAATCTACCCAGTTTGGGGCAAGAAGTGGGAGTTTTGTTGGTCCAGTTGATGCTCAGCCCTGTGTGCTTGAGCCACGTGAAGGCTGAGACTGAGACACTGCAAGGACGGATGGGGGGGAGGCAGGAGCATCCTTCGGGATGTGGTTGATGGATGGTGATTGATGGTGGTTTATTGCTGGTTCTTGTTGGACTGCTCTGCTCCAGTGTTGTAACAGCCCATGGGGAGAGCACCTTTCTGCTGCTTTTATAACCATAGAATCATAGGATATCTCAAGTTGGAAGGGACCATAAGGATCATCAAGTCCAACTCCCAACGTGTAAGTACTGGTCTGAGTACCTGGCAAATCATCCCTGGCCTTCTCCTTGCAAGTGTGAAGCCTGAAGGGGAGTATCTCCATCCCTTCACCATTTCTGCTGCTTTTTTTGCTCATGCCTGGATCTGTCTTGATGGAGGTACCCACAGTGCTCACTGGTCCCATCCAAACCAGGATGCCAGCAAAAGTAGGAGGGGCATTAAAAGCATCCTGATGGTTTTCTTTTATTTGGTGGTTTTCACTTTTATTTTCCATCCCGTCAGGCAGTTTGGAATCCCATTTCTATATTATTTGGTGTTTCCCAGCCAGAAAGTTGGCAGTCATGGGCATGATGCTGCTGATTCAAACAGTTCCTCCTGCTCCTTGAGATACCCATTGTGAAAAATGAGGGTTTGGAAAGGTTTTTTTATTGGTTTGGTCTTGGAATTTTCCAGTCTAGCTCAGCTGTGTGCCATTCCTTGTGCAACAAGGGAGGAGGGATGGTTTGGAGAGAGGAGGAGGTGGAGCATGGCCCGAGGTGATGGTTCAGAGCAGCAGGAGGTGGCACAAATGACCTTGTTTGTGGCATCTCAACCCTGTCACTGCCTTCAACACCCTCAGCAGTGCTCTGGGAGAGAGGGTGTTTTAAAAAGGACATGGCCCTTTCCCAAAAATCCAGTTTGTTGTGGGACCTTCCAGGTCCTGGTGGGCAGATTTATGTCCAGCAGATGCTGCTGAGTGAGCTCGTTGCCCGGTGTATGTACACAGCGGAATTCCTGGCATGAGGACATGGTGGTTGATCCTCCCTTCTTTTGAAAATCTGGATTTTATATTAATTTAAAAGTCAATGTTCTCGTGAGATGAATAGGGGCTGTTTCATTGAGTGGTTTAGGTTGGAAGGGATGTCAAGCCCATCCAGTTCCACCCCCTGCCATGGGCAGGGACACCCTCCACCAGACCAGGTTGCTCCAAGCCCCATCCAACCTGGTCTGGAACGCTTCCAGGGATGAGGCAACTCTCTGTTCAGCTCCCAGCTATTTTGTGGTGTGAGACACCAAGCCGTGATTTGCTTGTTTCTCTCCAAAAAGACTCATTTTAAAAGGTTTGGGCGGGTTTTTCGAATGCTGTGAATCCGTACGAGCCGCAGAGCTTTGAAAGGCCTGTGAGTAACGTGTGCTTTGGGATCAGTTTTGCACCACGTCGCACCACCCGCTCAGCACATTAATACCAAACGTGTGTGGCCATCTCAGCAAGCTTTTCCATCCGGGAAATGCCGCGTTCCCGTGCCCGGCTGTTCTTGTAACATGAGTAGAATAACGTGAAGTCACTCTGGTTGCTTTGCTGCCGAGTCCACCAGCGCCGCTGCCAGCACTCCATTGGGGTGGCTCAACCTCACTTGTGCTGTTCTGCCTCCTTCTAAAAATGCCCATTTTTGGCTTCTGTCCTTTCCTGCTCTCCAGGTGACTTTCTCTCGCCTTCTCACTTCCCTCCTTTCTTTTCCCTCTCCATAGGCACCGATATTCTTTACATCGGCCCCGTCAAAGGTGAGCTCCACCTCAGTAGGACTTTTACCCTCTGCCTCTGGTCTCTTTGGCTGCACCCTTAGTTTATTTTCCTGCTCCTCTAAAACCTTTTGACTTCCAAAATCTTTAAGCAACAGGTAATACCGGTAAGTCGGGGGCCACTCATGTCCCAGGTGCCACAGAGACTCAGGGGGCAGGATTTTCCCGGCATGGGAGACCTGTGTCTTTTCCCACCGTGTGGGATGGAATGAGTTTTCCATCAGTTTTGCTCTTGGAGAAGAGCCGAGAGAGAGAGAGAGGAGAGGGACGGCTTTCCGTGGGAGAACAAGCAGCACAGTGTTTTCCCATTGTGGAAAGATAATGGTGGAAAAAGGGAAGGTTATTTTTCATCCGTTGGCTGGGTTGGGAGCAAGGCAGGGCTTGTCCCAAAGCTAACTCCCGGCTTTTATTCCCATTGCTGGTAGGAAATATCTATTCAAGCCCAGGACTGTATAGCAAAACGATGACGCCGACCTACGACGCCCACGACGGCAGCCCCCTGTCACCCACCTCCGCCTGGTTCGGTGACAGCGCCCTGTCGGAAGGGAATCCGGGAATCCTGGCCGTGAGCCAGCCCGTCACCTCCCCAGAGTCCTTAGCAAAAATGTACAAGCCCCAGACGCTGCTCGATAAAGCCAAAATCAACCAAGGGTGAGTCGAGGATTTGGGGGTGGTTTTTTTGCTGATTTTAAATTGCGTCACCGGAGCGTTTTGTGTGTGTTATCCCGTGTTGGCAATTCACAGGTGGCTGGATTCGTCCCGATCCCTGATGGAGCAGGAGGTGAAAGAAAACGAGGCTTTGCTACTGCGGTTCAAGTACTACAGCTTTTTTGACCTGAATCCAAAGGTACAGAGCTACTTGTTTCACTTGCATCTTGCAGGCAAAGGCTTGGAGTAGAGGATGCCTGGATCTCTTAACGTGCTTTTGTGTTGGTAAACTTTCCCAAAAAAAACCCATGAAAATTTGAATGGAGTTTGAAAATGGGTCGTGCAGGAATCAAACAGGGGATTTGTGCTCCCTATATATCAGCTTCCTAAAATTTAGGTGTTGCTGGAGATGCTCTGAGGGGTCTTAGAGCCACTTCGCTTCGGTGGCAGAGGATTTTCAGTCTTGGATTGAAGTGTTGTGTTGAGAGGTCAGAGAATCCCGGAATGGTTTGGGTTGGAATGGACCTTAAAGACCATCTCATTCCAACTCCCTGCCATGGGCAGGGACACCTTCCACTAGATGGGGTGGTTTGTCCTGACCTGGGCGCGTACGTTTTCCGACGGTTCCGTGTTTCTGTGCTGTGCCGCAGTACGACGCGATCAGGATCAACCAGCTGTACGAGCAGTCCAAGTGGGCGATTCTGCTGGAGGAGATCGAGTGCACGGAGGAGGAAATGATGATGTTTGCAGCACTGCAGGTGGGACAGAGCCTTGAGACGCCGATGGTTTGGGTTAAACTGGATTTTTTGGCTTTGCGGGTTTCTCCGTTGATTAACCTGATAAGTGAAATCATGGAACCACAGACTGGTTTGGCTTGGAGGGGACCTTAAGACCATCTCATTCCACCCCCTACCATGAGCAGGGACACCTTCCACTAGACCAGGTTGCTCCAAGCCCCATCCAACCTGGCCTTGGACACTTCCAGGGATGGGACAGCCACAGCTTCTCTGGGAAACCTGTGCCAGAGCCTCACCACCCTCACAGCCAAGAATTTCTTCCCAATATCCTATCTAAACCTACTCTCCTTCAGCTTAAAATCGTGTATTTTAAGCCTCACCTGGTCTTTGGTGGGAGCTTGGCCTTCTCAAGCTGGTAGAAGTTGGATTGTTTCCCATCTCCTAATCCTCAGTTGAGTTTATTAGATTTATTTTGAATTTAAATGTTTGCTGCTGATTATTTCTCATGAAAAATAACTTCACCTTCTTTTACCAAACGTGTTTATATCTATCTTAACTTTTAGTTTTGCACTTTCTTAAACCCACCCAATACGTACACGGTGTTACTGAACTGTGCCTTTCTGGCCCTGTGCCCCCCAAACAGCTGGGGATAATCTGTGGGTTTCCCAGAACTATTTATTTATATGTTTTATGAAATACTCGGTGTGATTTGGCATAAATGCTACACCTGCTATTGACTTCTGTGGGACGGATGGCAGACATTTATTCCGTGTGGTCTGGCACGACTTGTCGCTGTAGGATGCAGGAATGTCCCCCTCAGGAGCAGGGCTGTCTGCTCCAAGGGCCCCTCCCAGGAAAAAACGAGAGAAAACAGAAATATAATGACTCAGTTTACATCCCAGCACTCCAGAGTGGGTTGGGCACAGTCCTTCCTGTGAGATTTCATGGATGTTTTGGTTTTCTGGGGCAAAAACAGATGCAAAGACATGGAGTAACAGAATGGTTTGGGTTGGAAGGGACTTGGTCCATCTTGTTCCAACATCCTGCCATGGGCAGGGACACCTTCCACTAGACCAGGTTGCTCCAAGCCCTGTCCAGCCTGGCCTGGAACACTTCCAGGGATGGGGCAGCCACAGCTTCTCTGGGCAACCTGTGCCAGGGCCTCATCACCCTCCCAGCCAAGAATTCCTTCCCAATATCCCATCTAACCCTGCCTTCTGGCAGTGGGAAGCCATTCCCCCTTGTCCTGTCACTCCAGGCCCTTGTCCAGCTCTCTTGGAGCCCCTTTAGGCACTGGGAAGATGCCCCTGGAGGGAACAGCCCCATCCACCAGCAAGTGTCCTGGTTTGTACTGGGCAAGGCATTTCCAGAGGTCGAGAGAGGTGATCCTGCCCCTCTGCTCAGTACTGGTGAGGCCACACCTGCAGTAGTGGGTCCAGTTCTGGGGTCCTCAGGGCAAGAGAGACATGGACAGACTGGAGAGAGTCCTCAGTGATGGGCCACAAGATGATGAAGGTCTGGGAACATCCCTCCTATGAGGAAAGGCTGGGATTGTTCATCCTGGAGAAGAGAAGGCTCTGGGGGTCTTACTAAGTACATAAATACCTGGTGGGAGGCAGGGAAGGAGATGGACAGAGGTGCCCAGTGGCAGGACCAGAGGCCATGGACACAACCTGTAACATGGGAGGTTCCCTCTGAACATCAGGAAACACTTTTTTACCATGAGGGTGGCTGAGCACTGACACAGGTTGCCCAGAAAGGTTGAGGAGTCTCTATCAAAGTTACTCAAAATCCAACTGGACATGGTCCTGGACAACATCTGGAGCTGGGAGTTAGGACCAGGTGACCTCCAGAGGTCCCTTCCAATCTCAGCCAGTCTGTGATTCTGTGGAAAGAGCAGCTCTGCCCTGTGGGGCCCAGAGAGGTCCTTCAGGGGTTGAGCCACCGACTCCTTGAGCTGAAAACATCCAGGATGGTCATTCCTGTGCCTTGCCTTCCAGTACCACATCAACAAGCTGTCCATCATGTCCTCAGAAAACCACCTGAACAACAGCGACAAGGATGTGGATGAGGTGGATGCTGCACTCTCAGATCTGGAAATTACCTTGGAAGGTGGCAAGACATCCACCATCCTGGTAAGGGTTACAGGCACACCATGTGTGTCCCCTCCTTCCCTCCTGGGAATCTTTTCAGGCTTCCAACCTTTTTTATTTCCTTCCTCTTCCTTTTTTTTTTTTTTCTATTTCTCTATGAGAAAGTTACCCCCAGCCCAGTGAAGCGACACAAAACATAGACCCCAATAATATTTGCTTTAAAATAGGGGATTTTTTTTAGATACTGAGGGATAGTTCTGGGGGCAGGGAACCACAGAAAGTGTCTGGAGAAGTCCTGGAGGAACCAGAATCTTACTGAATCCTCGCTACAGCAAGCCACCTTCCTGATGAAATAATGGAAAACTAAATTTAAATGGATGTGATTTCTGTCCTCACTACTGACTTTCTCAAATACTGAGTTCTCCACATTGAGGTTTCTCTTCCTCTGTTTCTAATTCACGTTTTACAGCACCTAAAACGGCTGCTGTGATTTTCAGAACAAATTTATGCTTATGAAACCTTACTTTTATTGCACTGGATTTTAGCCTATGTCTCTATTTCAGAGGATTTGGGGGGGTGTTTCAAATATGCTGTTTTAACGCTCGTTTTCCACCTTTAAAAATGTAAGGGTTTAAAATTAAAGTGCATTAAAAGGACTCAGTCCTGTCAGCCTTGGCCCAGCACAGCTTTTCCAGGCTTTCTGCACGTTTATACCGTCTCTAAATTTCATTTTAAGTTCTTTCCAACCCTAAAATCCCTGAAATTTTCCGGTTTTACACTTCATATAATTTTTTTTTTAAGTGTTTATGAAGGGTCTTTTTGAAGTTACATCCATGCTTAGATGCTGTATTGGCATTAACAACAGCAGAGCTTTGCAATATAAAGCAGTGGCTGCGACAGAAACGACGACAAATTTTTATCACCGAGACATATTTTCTAATTTCTTCTCAAAACCAGATTTGGAACACACCACTAAGGAACAAACCCTGCCAGATAAGAGCACAGAGGACAGTGATTCATCCAAAAAAACCCCCATCCCTTTCCGTAGGGCTTGCAACCAGGAGCCATTTCCAGATGCATTCGAGTAATTGAATACGGATAATGGGCAATTACTGGATTGTTTGTTTAGATTCTGCCTTTTTTTTTTCTCCCTGTGGTATCTATAAACAGTTCACTGCAGACTGAAAGTAAACTGTCCTGCTACTGGAAGCTGCTGGAGCAATCCTTCCTTTTTCTATCCCTCGAAAACCCTTGAGTTTCAGCTCCCGGGAGTTGCAAGTTCCCCCCTGTACATTTTCCTCGTGCAAAAAGGGAATTTAAACTCAATATTTAAAGATCCAATGGGGGAGGGGAAAGTCTTTCTAGACGCAGAGATCCCTTCTCCAGTCGGTTTTCTGTGGAGGTGCATCTTTTCCTTTTGTTTGGAGCACGGGAAAGTAACTGAAGGAGGAGAAAAATCCCTGTGTGAACACGAGCCGCTGTGACCGCCCGTGACCTCGCGGGTGGGAATTGGCTCCAGCAACAGCAGGAATTCCTCAAAGGAAAATAAAACCTTGTCCTCTGCTTTCCAAACAGCCCTGCTGGGCTGTGCCATAGATTTTTTTTTCCCTGCTTGATTCTCCCGGGAAGCGGCTCTGAGGCTTTCTCAGGAGCCGTTTCGTGACCCCTGAGCCGCGATGTTGCCCCCTCCCCCCGGTTTCCTCCCCTGCACCACATCCCTTCCCTCCCGGATCCACCGTCCAGGATCCACTGGGGCAGGCGGGTGAACGGGATAATCTTTGATTTTCAGGGTGACATCACTTCCATCCCGGAGCTCGCCGACTACATTAAAGTCTTCAAGTAAGTGCTGATGGGAAGAGCTGCTCATGAAACTGGTAATGGCAATGAATAATTAATGGTCCTACCTCTTAACATCCTTTCTTTTTTTTTTTTTTTTCATCTCCTGGCCATAGGATATTCAAAATATTCAATACTTGAAGTTGAATAGTTCTTAAATAAAAAATTCAGGATGTTTTCCTACTGGGAGAGTTTGCTGCAGCCCATAGCCAGCAACGTGTGCTGGGTTATTTCTTTAACACATTTGCTGCCCAGGAGATAATAAGCCATCCTGAAAGATAATAAACCATCCTAAAATTAGGGGTGAGACCTAAAAACCCTCCTCAAACACTTCTCCTCGTTTGCTGGGTGAATTCTAAGCCAGTCTCTCCAGCTTCTCCGTGCCAGAAGGAGCAGGTTTAAGTTGACTCTGCTCCTCTTCCAGCTCGCTCAGGATTTGGGGATTTTTTTTTTTTAGTTTGCTTTGACTCGGATCGTGGAACGTGGAAACCGGGAACAGCAGCGTCTGGGCTTGGAGTAACATTTTTGGCAGCCACGACTGTCTTTTGCAATTTATTGCCGGCTGAGGCGAGGGATACAGTGAAAGTTCTGGAAACTGGGAATAGTGATGAGATTTCACAGCAGAACTGCAGGATAGAGGGGGGGAAAAAAGGCTGCAGGAAGCAAAATATCTCTGGAACAAGCCTTTATTTTATTAATTGTTTGGTTCTGGAGCCAGAACCTGGCACTCACAGCTCTGAAAAACTCCTTCTCCCTCTCCAAAGGCAAATTAATGAGGTCTCTGCGTCTGTCTGGGCTTGTGGTCTGGCTTAATCAGGGCAAAGTTTCAGGGCTGCAGCCCCTCAGTGGGTGTTTCTTCCCTCCCTTGAACAAACAAATAAACAAAAAACTTGTTCTTCCCTTTGATCTGCTGATTTGCCAATAAAATTAGGCAGGACTCAGGGAGCTAATTGCCTGCAAATTGGAGCACCAGGAGATGGAGCAGCCAGAAGCTGCCGGTTCCTCGCCCAGTGAAAGCCTAAAACCCCCTGGGGTTAGGACTTAAAGCTGTCAAATTGAACAGAGAATTCCATTTGCTCCTAAAAATGGGGGTCAGGAGGTATTTTAGTGCCAGAAATCCGGTGTAAATGGCACGATGTTCAGAGGTGGCCCAGCTTTGGATGTGCCTCTTGTCACACTTCACTTGGAGAGGAGCTGCAATACATGTCCCTAATATTCCATAGATTTAGCTCCTGTAAATATGTCCCTATGTGTGCCTGGTGTTGCTGCAGAGAGTTGGGATGTTTCTCTCTCCCCTGCCAGCCAAAATCATAGAATCCCAGAATGTTTTGGGTTGGAAGGGACCTTAAAGCCTGTCTCATTGCAACCCCCTGCCATGGGCAGGGACACTTTCCACTATCCCAGGTTACTCCACGCCCCATCCAACCTGGCCTGGAACACTTCAAGGGCAGCCACAGCTTCTCTGGGCAACCTGTACCAGGGTCTCACCACCCTCCCAGCCAAAAATTCCTTCCCAGTATCTCCATATATTATATCCAGCATCAAAATGCCCTTCCTGCAATTTAAAGGAGCCCCCCCAAAAAAATCCAAAGACAGTAAAGATGCATTAAGGCATCTTTAACAAAGGATGTAAAAACCTGCACGTGTGGGATGGCTTGGCTGGAGGCTGGTGACTTCTTCCATAGTGGGAAGCAGCTTTCAAAGGAAACTGGTTGTATAGTTTTCCCAGGGCAGGGCTGTGTGTGTGCCAGGGCTTTTGGAGGAGGAGGAAATCCAGCAAGGGCAGGAGGAAGCAGCAGATGCCCCAGCTCAGGTGTCCATCACAGGACAGGGAGCAGGGAGGTTCAGGCAGACATTGTTTCTGCCCCACGCCCCTGATTTCCTTCTGACCTGAGCAGCCTCCAGCTCGCTTTTGCTTGGAAATGGAAGTGCAGATCCCTGAGGACAAGCAATTGGGGCCATCACATATTTGATCCCTGCAGATGAGAGATCAGCAGCTGTTTCCGGGATGGAAACATAAGAAATGCGTGAGAGGCTGGAGATCCAGCCTTAGAATAAGGTTTATAAATTAGGGAAGGTTAAAAAATTCGGATACTTGGAGCTCTGCAAAGGCCCTGGGCTCGTGGTGGGATGAGCTCAGGGTCCCACCCTGCCAAGTGGTCGCTTTGCTTTGCTGCAGGTTTACAGGGCCATCAGTTCTCCTGCAGAATCAAGCAAAATCCATGCTTTCCATAGAAAAGAAGTGAACCTTTTGGAGGGTGGAGTGTTTAAATTCAAAACCAGTGCACTCGTGCGTGCGTGTGGCTGACGAGTCCTTGGAAGTGCCGCTTCCCTTTGGAGCTCCAGCAAAGTGGTTCCAGTTTCGTGTGGTGGGTGGAGAGGCAGGTTTTGCAGCGGTTCAGGGACATGTCTGTTTTTGTAACAGAGTTCTCCAGCTCCCCCCACCTTGCCCCAAATTACCTCCATGGGATTGAAGAGCCCGAACTTGCCATTGGAGCTCAACTCGGCAGTGAAAGGATGGCTGAGCCCCCGGGCAGGGACTATCCCAGGGGTGGGGGAATAACCCAGGCTGCTGACAGCAGGTTTCCAGGGGTGAAATAATGAGTTTCCTGGTGCAGCAGCTTGTTTTTAGGAGCTTAAACCAAGTGTGATGTCCCTCCATGTGTCTGGCAGGCCCAAGAAGCTGACGTTGAAAGGCTACAAACCCTATTGGTGCACCTTCAAAGATACCTCGATCTCCTGCTATAAAAGCAAAGAGGAATCCAACGGGACTCCTGCTCACCAGATGAACCTGAGAGGTAAGAGAAGTGTGAGATGAGGGAAGAGAAGCTGCTTTTTATTCCAGTAATAGGCTGCTCCTCCTGCATCTTGCTTTCCCACTGCTTTATCACCTCGGCGTGGCATCCCAGGGTTATGTAAACGTGTTTAAAGGAATGAGGTGACTGGGTTTGATGGTGTGGCACAGACTTGGGCTTCTAGACAGTGTGATCCCACAGGGAAGCCCTAACAGCTCCCCAGTAGCATGAGGAGACAACTTCCACAATCATGGAATGGTTTGGGTTGGAAGGGACCCTCAAGACCATCTCCTTCCAACCCCCTGCCATGGGCAGGGACACCTTCCACTTGCCCTTCTTTTTGTCATACTTAGTTCAGTCACAATTCCCGCGGCAAAAAAAAAGAGTTTAAGCTGGGAAGAACAGACCATTCTCCTCCTCTGCTGCCTTAGATTATTTTCCCTCCTCTGCCCGGTGCTGGTTGGGAGCAGCCTCACTGCGAGCCTTGGGTTTTTAAATTCCTGCAGTTGCTGGCTCTCCTTGTGTCAAGTTAAACATTCCTGCTCCGGCAGCCACGGAGCTGCAGAGAGAGCTCATTTGTTTTCCCCGTGGAGGCAGGAGCAGATGGGATGCCAAGCGACCTCGGGCTGCTGTCGGAGCGAAGCCCGGCCCGCAGGACCTTTTTGGGAGCTTTTGACAGATCTGCTGTGACGGCACTTTTAAAAAATCTCGGAGGCGGCGTTGAAGTGGCGCCTGGGAGGACTTGGCTGCTTCAGTTCATCACGCTCCGTGTTTATCCAACCACTTGGAGTTCTCTCCAGACTCCGGGAGCGGGATGCTCGCACCTCACCGCTCACTGTAGCAGCCAAAATCATGGAATCACAGACTGGTTTGGCTTGGAAGGGACCTTTAAGACCATCTCGTTCCACTCCCCTGCCATGGGCAGGGACACCTTCCACTAGCCCAGGTTGCTCCAAGACCCGTCCAGCCCGGCCTGGAACACTTCAGGGATGGGGCATCCCATCCTTGCATAAATAACATAGAGGGGTTTCAGGGTGGGATTCAACACCCATCCAGTCACCTTTTTGTAAATATCAGGAAAAGGTTCTTCCCCCAGAGGGTGACTGGGTACTGAATAGTCTCCCCAGGGCAGTGGGCACGGCCCCAAGGCTGCCAGAGCTCCAGGAGGGTTTGGACAACACTCCCAGGGACAGGGTGGGATTGTTGGGGTGTCCTGGGCAGGGTCTGGAGTTGAACTCAGTGGTCCTTGTGAGTCCCTTGCAACTCAGCATATTCTAGGAAAATTTTGGTGTATTTGCCAGCTGTGGGATCCACTCACAAGGCCAGGCAGGATCCACAAGGTTAATTCTGTGGGCATACGTTAGCTTTGGCTTTGTTTCTTTCAAATCAGGTCTTGCTTTTTCCCCCTCAATTTTCCTGTCACTTGGAAAAAGAGACAGCTGACAATGGGTTTTGTCCCTGCTGTGTGGAGTGTTCATCCCCTGGAAGATGTGGTACAAACATTTGGCAGCACTGAGACCCTCTATTTGGAGAACTTTGCCTTTTCTTTCCCTTTTTTGCTTTTTCCCCCCTCTTTTTCAAGCATAGTTCCTCACCTCCCCTGTTAAACACTGGCTCCCTCATTGCAGGATGTGAAGTTACCCCTGATGTGAACATCTCTGGTCAGAAGTTTAACATCAAACTCCTGATTCCGGTGGCGGAGGGGATGAATGAAATTTGGCTGCGCTGCGACACCGTAAGTATTGCTTGGACTTGGACACCTCTTCACCCTTTCCCCACCATCAGCTCATGCTGAGGTGCTGTTAAGTAAAAAACAGGTAGAAAATGCCCTCGCCTGTGTCTGACCTCAGCATTCCAAACACATTCCAACTCCCTCACCTGTGAGCGCGGAGCAGAAAATCATTCCCTGCTCTTCCTTGGCTTTGTCCCGTGGTTTTAGCCTACGCATTGGCTGGATTTCTGGCTGTCCTGGTGCATGTCTGAGTCTTCTGGGGGGCTGGAAGGGGAATGGAGGCTCCCTGGAGTTTCATCTGGGGCGTCTGGTGGTCGCCCCACAGCTCTGACAGGCACGGGTCTCTGTTTTTGGGGGGCCAGGAGACGCAGTACGCCAGCTGGATGGCCGCCTGCCGCCTGGCCTCCAAGGGCAAGACCATGGCCGACAGCTCCTACGGCATGGAAGTGCAGAACATCCTGTCCTTCCTGAAAATGCAGCATTTGAACCCGGACCCGCAGCTGATCCCCGAGCAGATCAACACCGACATCAACCCCGAGTGCCTGGTCTCCCCTCGCTACCTGAAGAAGTACAAGAACAAGCAGGTAGGTGCTGGCCCAGCGCGGCGTTGGCGTTGGCTTTGGTGTTGGTGTGGTCTGGGCTGACCGGGCACGTGTTTTGGCGGTAGCTGGTGTCTAACACGACGTGTTTTTTGGATGTCTTCACTTTCGTGGGGTGCACGTGGTTACTAAAACGAGACGCGACTGACCGAAGGGTGTGGTTTGGATGCAGCACCTGGGGATGGCACCCACCACCTGAACCGTGCCGGGTGTTGTGTGATGTGCACGTGCACAGCCCGGGCAGCGGGGAGCCTTTAATTGTAAATACGTTTAAAATTGGGTTACATTTATATTAAATGAATTTTGGGAGTGGTTCAGCCCCTGCTGATGAGTTCTGGTGGAGCGATGGGGTCAGCTGCCCCATCTCTCCCCACAGCTGGACTCAATCCCCGGTGCTGGGATTAAAACCCCATTCCCCGCACAGAATCCATGGAGAAATCCCCAGGATCAGCGGAGTTGCAGTTGCTTGCAGTGCTTTATCCACACTTGGCTGAAATGCAGTTTGCATATTTTCTCTCTTTGCTTTTCCACTGCTTCCAAATGCCAGTCCTTGAAACATTGCTTCATTTTTGAGTTGCTGTGACTCGAGCTTGAACTCCTCGCTCCATCCTGTCCCTGCAGGACAGGGCTGAACTGTTCCACGCTGGAAATCAATGCCTGACTCTCTGAAAGACATTATATGTCAGAACAGCAGCAAAAAATAAGTAAAGCGTTGCTCTGTGGCCTTCTGGTGACTTAAATCCTTCAGCCTCTGGCTGGATGCGATTTCTCCGAGCCCAGAAGAAGGCTACAAGTCAGAGAAGCAGGAAAAATGTAACTTTTTATTGGCACAGCACGGTGATTTCCTGGCAGTGGAGTTATATTTTATATAGCCCTTATTATTCTTCTGAATAAGCCTTTATATCCACTTGGATGGAGGAGAGGCTGCATAAATATACTGTTTTAACATATATGTGATACTTTCTGGGTTTCCGGTAAAACGGAGGCACCTGGAAAAATATTAGCTTGAAAAACTTGCTTACTGTGCAGGTATCCTGGTTATAAAAATAAAATCCATGGGATCGTGGGGATGGGCACGAGCCCTCGTCCTGATCCCAGCTGGAACAGCGGCCAGGATGGCGATGCTGGTCCCTCATAGACATCAGCTAAACAGCGGATTTAGGATTTTCCTCGTGGCCAGAGGCAAAGCTTGGAGCAGCAGAGGATGTTTGCTGGGAGGAATGAGGGATGGAGGCTGTGGGAATGCAAGGAATTTGACCGCAAGGGTCCCTCCATGGCCCCAGCACAGGGGAAGAGGAGGAGGAGGAGGAGGAGGAGAAGGAAAAGGAGGAGGTCGTGCAGCCCACAAACAGTGCTGGAATGGGAACTGGCAGTGGGCCTTGCTGGAGGGTTTACTAGAAACTCTTGGTCCTCTCCAGCCCCAAACTCACTTTGTGACGTTTGTCTCCATGTGCCCGTGCGGCAGCGTAGGATTGGCAGGCTGGGTTAGGAAGCACCAAATCCTAAATGCAAATAAACAAAAACCAACCCAAAATAAGCATTTCCACAGCTCTCAGGTGCCTTTTTGGGGTTTGGTGTCAGAGCCAGCAAGGGCAGACACATCCCTGGGAAGCCCAGCTGATGTTATCCTACATCTGCTTGTTCCCTTGGGCAGCATCCCCATCATTTCTCTGCATATCCCAAATAAAAGGAGCTTTTGAGCTCATAGTGAGCTCTTGAGCTTCCTCTGTCAGTGAGCAGCCTGGAGTTTGTTCAGAGATGTGGGGAGGAATGTGAGGACATGAATTCTCTTCCAAGCCAGCAGCTTCACCCTCGCCATAGAATCACAGAATCCCTTGAGTTGACCCACAAGAATCACCCAGTCCCACTCCTGGCCCTGCACAGGACACTCCAACAATCCCACCCTGTCCCTGAGAGCGTTGTCCAAACCCTCCTTGAGCTCTGGCAGCCTTGGGGCCATGACCACTGCCCTGGGAATCCTGTTCAGTGCCCCACCATCCTCTGGGGGAAGAACCTTTCCCTGAGATCCAACAAAAACCATCTCAGGACCAAAACCAATTCCAGGACCCAGCTGGGATCACACCAGTGCTCCGGCAGGGCCGGCGCGAGCGGCGGATCTCTGCTCGCTTGTCCCTGCTCACATTCACTTTGGCTGCTTTTCCACCTAAGGAATTGTGCATGTGTTTTGGTTTGGTTTGTTTTTTTTTTTTGGCTTGAACTTTGGTTTGCAGTTAATTTACACTTTTTCTTTGCTTTGTTGCCATATTTCTGATTGCTTTTTTTTCTTTCTGCCTCCTTTTCCTTTTTTTTTTTGTTTTCCATTTCGCCTTGCCATCTACAGCCAGGCTATGTAAGAGACTTGGTAAGTGACAGTAACAATAAAATTAAGATACGGTTAAAATAAAACTTAATCTAGAACCCCTCTGGTTCAGAGAGCAGCGATGAAAACACTAACAAAACCTACACCCTCCCTGAGAAACCTGGGCCCTGCTTGGTTTTTTATAGTGATCCCCAGTGATTTATGCTGCGAAACTGGAAACCCTACACCACAAATTTGCCTTGTTGTTGTTCGCTCACATCCTGCGCCTTAAAATTCCCTGAGAGCCCGAGCGGCTCTTTTGCCTCCAGACAGCCCAGATCTATATTTGCTTTGATATGTCTGGAGATGGGAAGCTCCACGTTTATCCCCCGTGGTCGCAGGCTCTGAGCAGTCGGGGTCGAAATAAGACCTTGGGGTAGAGATCGCTGATTATCCGCGTTCGGATCCGCGGCGGCTCCCGAGCCGTTCCCGTTCGCGTGAGGTGCCGCCGAGGTGCCCCCCCTTCCCTAAATCCGGTGTGTTGGCCGCCCGCAGATCACGGCACGCATCCTGGAAGCCCACCAGAACGTGGCCCAGATGAGCCTCATCGAGGCCAAGATGCGGTTTATCCAAGCCTGGCAGTCGCTGCCGGAGTTCGGCATCACGCACTTCAACGCAAGGTCGGTGGGGCCGCTGGGCTGGGCAGGAGGAATTTTCCTTAATAAATGTATGGGGTGTGTTAAAAATCACCGAATCATCTTGGAGTGGGTTGGGTTGGAAGGGACCTTGCAGATCATCTCGTTCTGACCCCGTGCCATGGGGCAGGGACACCCTTGTGCTCATCCTTAGCTGGGGAAGTTGCACTGGAACTGAAATTTAAAGCATTAATGGCATCGACTTGTATAAATGATTTTATAAGTTAACTCAGCTGCTGAATTTGCGTGTATCACAGGCTCAGTTTTATAAATCCCTCACCCTGTCACAGGTTCCAGGGTGGGAAGAAGGATGAGCTGATTGGCATCGCCTACAACCGGCTGATCCGGATGGACGCCAGCACGGGAGACGCCGTCAAGACCTGGCGCTTCAGCAACATGAAGCAGTGGAACGTGAACTGGGAGATTAAAATGGTGAGATGGCGTTTTACAACCTGTCCTCTTCCCTGGCTCCTGTCCCTGAGACAGGCACCACTCCTAGGGTCGTGGAATCCCTGAATAGTTTGGGTTGGAAGGGATCTGGAAAGGATCTCAAAAGGGTTTGAGATCTTGTCGTTCCACCTGCCGTGGGCAGGGACACCTTCCACTAGCCCAGGTTGCTCCAAGTCCCATCCAACCTGTCCCTCAACACTTCCAAGGATCCAGGGGCAGCCACAGCTTCTCTGGGCAACCAGAGGAGTCAGGAATTTCTTCCCAATATCCCATCTCACCCTGCCCTCTGGCAGTGGGAAGCCATTCCCCCTTGTCCTGTCACTTCATGCTCACGTCCAAAGTCCCTCTCCAGCTCTCTTGGAGCTCTTTTAGGTACTGGAAGGGGTTCTCAGGTCTCCCTGGAGCCTTCTCTTCTCCATGACCTCCCTGGACTTGCTCCAGCAGCTCCATGTCTTTCTTGTTTAGGGTCTCCAGAGCTGGACACAGTGCTCCTGGGGTGGATGTTACTATATTGATGTAATACAGTTTTTCCTCCCTCCTCTTCCACCCTCCTTGGAGATCAAGCAGAGCTTGTCCCAACTGCTGGTGGAGTAGAGTGTGACCCTTAAAATAAAGAAAAAAAAATGAAGCTTTCTCTACTGCAGCCAGGAATAATTTTCTCTGGTCTCTGAACACCCATTCCAAGGCAGTTAAGTAAAATTGAACTCAGCATTGATGCTCAGGCTTCATCCTAACCAGTAACATAAATATACAGGGCCTTATCCATACCCAAGTTCCTTTTATTTGCTGTACAGCTCAGGCTTTCATTTAAGTAAGTAGTGAAAAGAAACAGTAGACACTTCCCCAGGCTCTGAGATGGGCTTTTCCCTCACTGTTACGTTTGGATGAACAAATTTTTGGTCTCCTTTTTGGCAGCACACCTAATTAAAATTGCCAGGGATACATGAGGGCTGTTGTCCTGCGGTTTGTGGCTCATTAAGAGTTGTTGGAAAAATTATTCAGCTTCCCTCTGCCTCAGAGTTATTGTTTTGACCCAGTTGCAAGCCCCAATATCCCAATTATTCAGCTCGGATACTCTGCTGGGAATCCCCCTCCCTCCCACAGAGCTGTCAGTGATGGGGGGACAAAAAGAGAAGGAGCATCAATAAATGGTTGGTCTGTTCAGTGCCTCCAAAACGAGTTCCCCCAACCCCCATAAAGTATTTCTCAGGCAAAAATTCAACTTAGAAAACCAGGGAAAACTGGAAAGAAAGCCCAGACTTCAATGGGTCTGTGCCTGGTCTCTGTTTCTCTGGAAGTAAAGAAAATCTGGCCACGTGCCCACCACAGAGAGGTGGAAACATGCTGGGGGATTGTTTCTGAGTCATGGGGGAATAAAAGGTGTAATGGTAATTTAAATAAATAAATGAAGAGGTAAATAAATAGAAAATTAATAAAAATAATAAAAAAGGCAATAAAAGGTATTTCTGTATCTAAATATTTGACTAATAGTCATCATAGAGTTAGTTTTAGGATGTGTAAAGGTGGAAGGAACCCATAATGATCGTTGAGGCCAAATCATCCTTTATAGAATCACAGAATTATGGAATGGTTTGGGTTGGAAGGAGCTTCCAACCCAAGATCATCCAGTTCCAGCCCCTCCATGGGCAGGGACACCTTCCACTAGCCCAGGTTGCTCCAAGCCCTGTCCAACCTGGTCTTGGACACTTCCAGGGATCCAGGGGCAGCCACAGCTTCTCTGGGCAACCTGTGCCAGGGCCTCACCACCCTCACAGGGAAGAATTCCTTCCCGATATCCCATCTAACCCTGCCCTCTGGCAATGGGAAGCCATTTCCCCCTTGTCCTTACACTCTAAGCCCTTGTCCCCAGTCCTTCTCCTTTAGGCCCTGGAAGGGGCTCTCAGCTCTCCCTGGAGCCTTCCCTTCTCCAGGTGAGCCCCCCCAGCTCTCCCAGCCTGGCTCCAGAGCAGAGGGGCTCCAGCCCTCGGAGCTTCTCCGTGGCCTCCTCTGGACCCACTCCAGCGTTGACATCACTGGATTTTACTTAGGCATTGGGAAAAAAGCATCTGAGTAGACAGAAAAATCAGGGAGAAAGGAAGCAGCAGTTCCCTTGGGAAGCCCGGGGGGGGCTGACGCTGTGCTCTCCCGCTCCAGGTGACGGTGGAGTTCGCGGACGAGGTCCGGGTGTCCTTCATCTGCACGGAGGTGGATTGCAAAGTGGTGCACGAGTTCATCGGCGGGTACATCTTCTTGTCCACGCGGGCCAAGGACCAGAACGAGAGCTTAGATGAAGAGATGTTCTACAAACTGACCAGTGGCTGGGTGTGAGCCCCGCCCGCCCCGCACCCGGAGGAAAAAACCCCCATGGCCATATTAATTAATATTTAACTTTCCAAAGCTGTTCTTCTTTGAGATAATGCTGCTTAATAAAGTAAGCTTGAAATGTATCTTTTTTTTTTTTTTTTTTTTTTATTTGGGATTTTTTTTTTTTTTTTTTTTTTTGCATTACCAGACCAGTTAATCTGTGTGCACTAATGAGCACTTCTGTTAATTCGCTATAACAAGACCATGTCTGGGTCATGGATCCAGATTTCGGTGGGCAGATCAGGATAAGGTTTAACTGACTTAAA